GTACGCCTGCCCTCCATGGAGGACCTGTACCATTGCACTGGTTGCGAGGATCATCTGCTTTATAGCGCATTGTGTGGAAGAAGAGCACAGACATGACCTCTGCCGCACTGCAGCATGATGTGGGGTGCCTGAAGACAAAGGACAGCCAGTAAAAATGCCATCAAGGTAAAAAAAATTAAATAAAACTCAAATCCACTCCATGCACATACATGCGCTTCATCATTCCAAACGCTTTTGCTCGAGCTGGGTACTTAAGTCTGACAATAGGACACTTCTGAACACCTGTCAGTCATTCCAGTAAAGCAGCACAGTCTGATAAACTTCAAAACACTACTGCATTAGAAGAGACCCTCCTTTTAGGATTGCCATTTATGTGAGTAGATTGATATTTATACCACAATTCACACCTTGGTTAAGTTGCCACACTCCAAACAAACTACATAAGAATTTGTGAAACTGTTAGTTGCTGCACAGTGGTCCAAGTATTGAAACATATCCACATTACCCAACAGCATCTCAGCTTCCCTATCTGGGTTAAGGTACAAGCAGTATTATTTCAACCATGCAGGAAACTCACCAGTGGTGGAAACCAAGCACAGTACTTCAGTAAATCTACTCAATGACAATAAGCAAAACCTTTGTGACATGTATATATATTAAATCATAGTTTTACAATTATGTTTCACAGTATTTTGTCTCTTTGTGTTTATAGGTGAGCTCTTTGGAGCAAGCCATGTTGGATGCACTTGTAATGGACAGGGTGGATTTTGTCAAACTGCTCATAGAAAACGGTGTGAGCATGCATCGTTTCCTAACAATCAGCCGGCTGGAGGAGCTCTACAACACGGTAACATTATGAGGCACCTGTAAAGGAGATGGACCATTTGAAGTAATGATAAAATAACTGTTTGTTTCTTTATGGTTTTATATTTTATGTGTCTTCTACTTTAGAAACTTCCAAACAACCTGACTCTCCTCCACCTGGTTAGAGATGTTAAAAAGGTAGTTAGTCCACTTCATATAATTTTTATCATTTGATGTTAGCCCGCTCAGTTTAATGTCAACATTTTGTCTGTGCCTTCTTGCAGAGTCATCTGCCTCCAAATTATAGAATCACTTTGATTGACGTGGGCCTGGTCATTGAGTTCCTGATGGGTGGGACTTACAGGTGCAACTACACCAGGAAACGCTTCCGAATAATTTACAACAATATGGGCGGGACTTACAGGTGCAACTACACCAGGAAACGCTTCCGAATAATTTACAACAATCTCCATGGCATCAACAAGGTGAGTTTGAACTGTTGGTGTGTGTTTGTAATACAGTGTCCAAAACGTCTTTTTTGGCGTTAATATTTCAAACTTCTGCTTGTGTTATACTGTAATTCTAAAATTGTTATGATGCAGTGAGGGCAGCATAGTGGTGTGGTGGTTAGCACTGTCACCTCACAGCAACAAGGTTCCAGGTTAAAGCCCTGGTAGACCAGGGTGCCTTTCTGTGTGGGGTTTGCATGTTCTTCCACTGCCTGCGTGGGTTTCTCTCGGTAACTAGAGATGCAAATTTTAAAGTGCCCGTGGCATGCTCATTTTGCTCGTTTCCAGCCATTAAATGCTTAATCTTGGGTACCTCTAGATTAGCTTTGCACTCCTCATAACTCCAAATAGTCTGTAATTATTTCACAATGACAACACCAGAGAGCCTCTTCCTAAAAATGAGAGGACAGTTTGTGAACGCGCACACCTCCTGTTGCCGGCGTTGGGTTGAAAATTTACAGCACAACGAACCCCGATGTCATTAATTAAGTTGAATTTCTCTTCCATAGACAGGTAAACAATGGTAAATGTACCGATGAAAAGAGATTTGTAACACTAAGAAAAGCAGAAAATTGAGAAACCCCACAGGTAGCGTAGCGTAGCACCGACAATAACATCATGGGTCATTAATCTGCTCATTAACCAGCAACATATCACATGTGGCAGACAACTGGCTGCGGGGCCTTCACAGGCTGGCAGCTTGTAGGTTAGACCCAGTCAGGTAAAACAGCGAGTCCCTACATAGGAACATTCCCAGACATGCAGTAACCTCAAGCCCTGTATTTTTCTCCACATCCTTTGGTCACAGTGCTGCAGCAGGAGGTAAAATATATCCACAAAACCGGGTGTAGTCGAAAAATTCCACTTTTATAATGGCAACGGTGTCTTTTATTTTTATTTTTCTAAATAAGCTTTATTGAAAATATACATAACAAGTCAATATAATATTTTTCCAATAAAGTGGGGACATCGGTGGATGTCAGGCAAGCTCACATGAATGTGCAGCTGCCTGGAGATTATGACCATTCAAGGAAATCCTTAAACTCAGGTAATACTTTATTTTGTTAGAAAAAAAGTCTTGTGAGGAAGAGTATGCAAGATGTGTATAAACTGAGTTGCTTCTGCTTAGAAATACTAGAACATACGTACACCTCATTTTTTGAGCTTTAGGTCACGTCTAAGATGATAATTCACCATTGTAGTATTGTAGATAAGTCAAAAAACAAGGAAAAGGATGCCATGGACTCTTTAAACAATTTTCTTAATAATCGGCTATGTTAACAGTCAATAATTGATTAATCGTTAACAACGTATGACATTTCCCATAATACATTTTACTACTACTGATGGGCTCTGTGTTGGTCGTAAAATTTAAGACTGAGATACAAAGAGGGGGAGACCTGTGACAAATGTCAGTGGCCGGGCTCAAATTGCTGACATCGCACATGCACTATGCATGCGTACATAGTGCATTGAATTAAGCCTTTACATTTATTGCCGAATGTAATAAAAGTCCATGGACAAAAAAAAGTAAATCTGAAAATGTTCTACACAGAGGTCAGGGCGCCACACTGCAGGCCCTAGCTGTAAACTAAGGAACGATCATGAGTCTTTCAGCATGGAGCCTGACAAAAAGGAGAAGATGAGACACAACCACTTCATCAAGACTGCAAAGCCGTACAAACCAAAGGTAAAGAGTCACTGTTCGATTAAAAAGAACAACACTTCCTCTAGACTGGAATAGCCTCCAGAGATTAATAAAATCTAATGAGCCACTGTTAATGGGGGGGGAAGTACTGTATATGTCCCATTCTGCCATTCTCACTGTTCCTTCCTTTTCCTCCTAGCTCGAGTCTTCCATGGAGCAGAAGAAAAAGAGCAAAGAGGAGATTGTCGACATAGATGACCCAGAGACACGGCGGTTTCCTTACCCTTTCAATGAGCTGCTGGTGTGGGCTGTGCTGATGAGGAGACAGAAAATGTCACTCTTCTTCTGGCAGCACGGTGAGGAGAACATGGCCAAGGCACTGGTGGCATGTAAACTCTGCAGGTCTATGGGCTATGAAGCCAAAAAGAGTGATGTGGTGGACGACACGTCAGAGGAGCTCAAGGAATACTCAAAGTAAGTCCTTCTGTGGCTGTAATATAAACATTAAATGGCTATAAACCTGTCAACTTTCCTTCACAATGTAAATGCTGAAGCCTTGCTCATTACGCTGATGTGTTTCAGTGAGTTTGGGACGTTAGCAGTGGACCTGCTGGAGCAGTCGTTCAGGCAAGATGAGACCATGGCCATGAAGCTGCTGACATATGAGCTAAAGAACTGGAGCAATTCCACCTGTTTGAAGTTGGCTGTCTCGTCACACCTACGGCCCTTTGTGGCTCACACATGCACCCAGATGTTGCTGTCAGACATGTGGATGGGAAGGCTGAACATGCGCAAGAACTCCTGGTACAAGGTTCATGTTGCATCTAGATTATATTTTTGGTAACTGATGAACATCTAGTGCTGTGCTTTGATTTCAGTTTTCAGTGGCCACTGAGGTTCAACAGTGTGAATTCTCAGGTGATGTCTATTAATCACCCATCCATTATTAGCCAGTTATCTGGAGTCAGGTCAGGTTTACTAGAGCATTTCAGATGCCCCTCTCCCCTGGATCATTATCCAGCTTTTCCTGGGGGGGCAGGCTAGATGAGATGTACATAATCCCTCCGATGTGTTCTAGGTGTAGTGGTGGGCCTCATACCAGTTGAACATGCTGGGAAATCCTTTAATGATAGGCACCCAGGAGGCATCATAATCTCCACCTCAAACTGGCTGCTTTTGATGCAAAGGACTCTACTTTAAGCTCCCTCTGGATGCCCTAACTCCACACCCTATCTTTATGGCTGAGTGCAGCCATCCTATGGAGGAGACTCATTTTAGCCACTTGTATTCATAATCTTATTCTTTTGCTACTACCTAAAGTTTGTGACCATAGGTGAAGGCTGCAATACAAACTGACTGGTAAATTTAAACCTTTGCCTTAGCTCTATGAGCTCCAACTTCATCAAAATGGTCCGGCACCACACTTGCATTACTGTTGATGTTGCACCAATCCGCTTGTCATTCTCTTGCTTCATTTACCCTCATTCATGTCCAAGGCCCCGAGATTCTTTAACTTCATGTCGGGCAAAACTCATTCCCATTCCAATGGGAGCAATCCACCTTTTTCCTGCAGAGAGCCACGGCTTCCGAATTGGAGGTGCTTATTTTCATCCCATCCATTTCACACGCGGCTCCAAACCATCCAAGAGCATGCTGGAGGTCATGGTCTGATGTCGCCAACAGAACCACATCATTTGCAAAAAGCAGAGAAGCAATTTGGAGGCTGAACCTTGAAATCCTGTCCATGAAAATCACAAATGGGATTGGAGACGAGGGCCAACCATGGCAGGCTGACACCCACCGGGAATTGCTTGATTTATTTTTTGTTGAGAATATAGACACAGCTCTCACTCTGGTTAAATAAAGACTGAATAGTTCATAAGATTGTTTCCACAGTACCCCCAACAAGACCCACTGAAGAATCCTGTCATGGGCCTTCTCAAAGTCCACAAAACAAATGTAGAATGGATGGGCAAACTCTCTTCAGTAGCTTTGCAAGGGTAAAGAGTTGGTTCATTGTTCCATGGTTAGGATGGAATCCACATTGCTGCTTTCACAGTGGAGGATTTGAGCATGGCCAGTTCTGATTCTATGTCCCCAACCTCCCCCAGGATGCAAGAGGTGGGAGTCAAAGATCTCATGGACCAGATCCCAGATTTGGTCTTGTGCAATAAAATAGTAGGGATTAATTAGTGTTTGTAATTGAAAGGACTCTCTTGATAAATATAGCAGCATTTACCCACATAAATGTGTGTGTTTGTCTCTAGGTGATTCTGAGTATCTTGGTACCTCCTGCCGTCTTACTGTTGGAGTACAAATCCATAGCTGAGATGGCACACATCCCTCAGAGTCAGGATGATCATCAAATGACCATGGAGGACAGCGAACACAACTTCCAGAACACAGCTGATGATATCCAAATGGTCAGATTTACTAAGCCCCTCTGTTCACCTGTTTTACTGTCACCTTTTTTTATTGTCTCATCTTTTGTTTTTTCTAAAGCCTCAGCAATATATGCTCACCCTGTGAATTCATTGAGTCTTAAAGAACAAAACATCTCAATGTGTTATAGTTAAAGCAGTGTTAGAGTTCACCAGCTGTGAACAGGCAGTTTTTCTGTTGTATTGTAAAAAGTTTGCTGATCATTTGTTTACTTCTGTCTCTTTTGCATTTTCTCTCCACATTGTGGCCTGCTGTTTTCTGATTTGTATCCTTGTGTCCCTCTGCAGGATGTGTTTAAGGAGACCAGATCCAGTGACCATGTGGAGGTGAAAAATGACATGGAGACTCATGTTCACTCCAGGAAGCTGCCTTTAGGAATGAAATTTTATGCCTTCTACCATGCTCCCATTGTCAAGTTCTGGTCCAGCACGGTATGAAAATTACATAAGAGAATACATACACTTGTCTATACATCCATTCTAGTGCCTGGGCACATGCTTTCCTAGAGTGGTATAGTAGTGTGATTCTTGGTTAGTTGGAACACCATTCTGCTTAAAAAAAAAAAGATATATTTTACAAAATTGAAATATCTGCATGTGTTGTTGCCCTTGAAAATAACTTTTAAACACAAATTTAAGGACCAGAGACTTGTCGAAGAAGAGGCAATAGTAGCAGTTCAAGCTTATTTTCACATTTTTTTCATAAAGCTGCACTGACTTAGATTTAGCACAAATTCAGATAAATCAAATAAAAAACTTGTCTAGAAGAGTTGTATCCCTGCTATACTAAGACCCCCCCCCCTCCGACATTAGGTTATAAGATGCATTTTTCAAACCATTATGGCTCATTTCAAAGTCAAACCATGGAGGCTCCCTGTGCAGGTACAAACCAGGATGGGAGCGGAGCTGTTTGTTAGCCCCAAATGGCCGTGTTCTGTAGCACAAAAAGAGTGTGACAAAGAACAAAGCAAAACCAGGGTTAACATCGGTTTGGCATGTCAGAGATGGAGAGCACTAAAACCATCCAAAATGACTAAAATTTGACACAGATGTGGCTTTCTACCTTCTAGATGCGCAAGTACCTAGCTAATGTACATGTTGGCATCGTTAGCAAGCTAATGTTAGCATTTCAATTTTGTACTGAATTATTCTGGTTGCAATTTGCAGTCATTCTAACTGACTGCAACGTTAGTGTTTTGTTGTCCACTTAGCAGAAACCAGTGCGCTTTCCTTGATTAGCAAATGAAGTAGTTTTGCTCAGTTTTGGTCCAGTTTATGTCAGACATAACACTCAACTCACCATCAACACTGCTAGAAAAGTGGGGAGTTTGTTTAACTGTCAAAGAGGAACATGAAATTTCTCTTGTTTCACATGCAACTCATGATTGTGTCAAGTATGTAACATTGAACAAGAAACGATGGTGGCCTGAATATTAGTACTGCATCAGTATTACTGGGAAAAAAACATTCCTCTGTATAAATTTCTTGTTACTTCAGATACATCTGCTACAAACAATGTTAGACATACGTATGCATATCACTAAAATATAAACCTCTTTATTGGCCATAGTCTTCCTACAATGCCACTGAAAACCACAAGTTCTATGGTCCATATATTCTGTATACATTAGCTCTGAAACCAGTTATTAATGCTGTGCTACCTGACTGCTACAACTGTCTCTGGCTGTTGTGACCACATATGACCTAATTTCACAGACAGGACAGGAGGAGCAAAGATGAGCAGAGGGAGATGAGGAGGGGATGGGTAGAACTGTATAGATCCCACAGTGGGGAAATTCCAGATACTGCTTGAGTTTGTTTTGACTCTCACTGTGCCCTTAATGGTTGAAAATTAGAGAGAAGTTAGTTAATGCAGCTTTAAATATACACCTGTACTGTCACATTTATATACTCATGCATGGGTTTATCACTCTTTTCTCACATTCTTATTTTTTTACAGTAGGATAATAACGGGACAGGACAGCACATTGAACAGCGGTTACAGTACGTTTATAAAAAGGAATATCAGTGTGCATACTGAGTGTACAGGTGGTGTGAGGATGTGTTGTGCAGGTGTGTTTAATATGGTAAAGGAGGAAGGTGGGGGCAGGCAGCGAGCTATGATCTTATGTTTATATACACAACCCTGAGTCTTGTGCAGGAGCCTTCACTTAGGCTTTACAGGGTTATTTCAAGGCTGTTCAAGACTGAGGTGCGCTGATCCAGTTACTGAAACTACTTAGTGTATATAATATAGCCTGCCTATGTCTGCTCTTAATGCGGAACTGAAGGACATACCTGCCAGATGCCCATGTTAATAGATGACTTTCTAGTACTTGACACATCACATGTGAAGGGTGAGCAACTTTTGAAATGGTTGACCTACTTCAACTTGTACAAAGGGTTTGTGTATGTGAAACTGTGAATGGTAAATGGTCTTATACTTGTATAGCGCCTTTCTATGCTTTTACAGCACACTCAAAGCGCTTTCACACATTATTCGGCCATTCACACACCAGTGACATCACCGGGAGCAACTGGGGGGTTAGTGTCTTGCTCAAGGACACCTCGACATGTTGACACATGTTGGGAATCGAACCGCTAATCCTCCGGTTAGGAAACGACCCGCTCTACCTCCTGAGCCACAGCCGCCCCCAATGCTCAACTAACTGTATAAGAAGGCCCGCAGCAGACTCTATTTTTTGAGGAAGCTGAGGTCCTTCAATGTGTGCAATAAGATGCTGGAAATGTTCTATCAGTCTGTCGTTGCTAGTGCCTTGTACTCCTCAGTGGTTTGCTGGGGAGTAGTATTGCAGCCAGGGACTCCGATAGATTTAATAGGCTAATTAGGAGGGCTGGCTCTGTCATTGGCTGTGAAAAAGAATCATTTGAGGCAGTGATGGAGATGAGAACACTAAACAAGCTGTTATCAATTATGGATAACTCTGACCATCCTCTCCGATTTGTGCTTGATAGACAGCGGAGCTCCTTCTCTAAAAGATTTGGACAGCTTCGTTGCTGTAAAGCACGTTATAGGAAATCTTTCCTGCCTTATTCCATTAATTTGTACAATACATCATCTTGGAGCATTAGATGATTCCTGGATTGACAGTAGTTGTATACTGAATCACCTTTGTATAGATTTGCATATGTTTGATTCATCATGTGATTATGTATATGTACTTGATTGTGTTGGGTTTGTTTTTAACTTTTAATGTACTTTTATTTGTTTTATATTTTAGTGGGTTATCTATTCCATTTATTGGTATGTGTGCTTGATATTGAGTGTGAACCACTGCTGAAACAATGCAATTTCCCAGATTGGGATTAATAAAGTATTTCTATCTAACCTGCCTACATAAATATTTTCAAACTTTCCCACGGTCTTGGTATGGTTGACTCGTATAATAAACAGAAAGGACTCGAGATAGAGCAGGTTGTCTCCTAACTGGAAGTTTAGCGGTTTGATTCCCGGCTTGTCCAGTCTATGTGTCGAAGTATCCTTGGGCAAGACACTGAGTCCCCAGTTAATATAACAAGAAACTCCACATACAACACATAATTCTGTACAGTGAAACTCAAACATCTCAGTGAAGGTACAATTAAAAACTAGCATTACTGCTTTGTGTTGTATGCCTCCACCAACCATTCACATTCACAGGAATTTGAACCTAAATTTAATCAGTTCATTCAGAATCAGCTTTACTGACAGGTTTGATGGACACGAGGAATTTGACTCCAGTACAGTGGCTCTCAATGTGTATGCACAGTGTTCTTCTGGAAGGCAACGAGTAAACAATTAAACAAGATAAAACAGAAAACAAAAAAAGAATGTGGAAACAACAAAAAGGAATTGGCATTAGGAAAAGAAAGCACTTTTAATACACACACGCACAAAGACAGGGTGTTGTGCTGTAGAGATTGTAATGACCCTTGAGGCATTGTGATTTGTGATATAAATAAAATTTCACTTTAACTTGATGTTGGCTAGTACAACTGTGTTTTGGAGTTATTTAAGTCTTAATTGTTGTATGTTTCCCACTGACAGCTCTTCTATTTGGGCTTCTTGATGTTGTACACATATGTGGTCCTGGTGAAAATACCTGAATGGCCTTCTCCTCAAGAGTGGGTGGTGATCCTCTACATCTTTACCTCTGCCATTGAGAAAATTCGAGAGGTTAGTGGAACAAGAGCTCTTTCAGAAGCACACTGCCAAGCTCTGATTTAAAAATAGTGATGCTAATACATGTATTCATATGGCAGTGAGACACTTTAGCTTTTGATATGAGCTTGTTTTCTGTAGTCTTCCCTAAAGGAAGTTAACTGATTAATTTCTATTTTTTTGTCTCCTCCTCTGTTTTTCCCCAGATGTTCATGTCTGAAGCAGGCAAAATAAGCCAGAAGGTGAAGGTCTGGTTCAGTGACTATTTCAATGTTTCTGATTTTCTGGCCTTAGTGAGCTTCTTTACTGGCTTTGGTCTGAGGTTTGCTGGAGGTGATGCCTTCATCCCTGGGAGGACATTTTATTGCCTCAATATCATTTTCTGGTACGTGCGACTCCTGGATATCCTGATTGTCAACAAGCAAGCTGGGCCATATGTCATGATGATAGCTAAAATGGTGAGTTCTTTGTTATATGAATGCACATTTTATTTCCACAACTGACATATTGTAAGGGAACTTTTCTCAATGACACAGAGGGCCAGATTTATGAGCACTTGTAGTCTGTATTGTTAGTAATGTCTGTTTTACCCATTATAAAATAAAGGGCTGGGACTGCTTTCTAGGAACAGTTGTGGAACAAACGTTCAGACTGCATTTCACAATCAGGTTTTGCCTGTCAGATATTGTTACTGTGGGGCTGAAACAAGACGAGGCAGGCATAGTACGTCTCTCCCCAGGTTTCATGTTTTAGTCCTGAACCTTCTTTTGGCTGTAAGAGTCTGTTCAGATTACAAGCTAAAGCACAGAACTACTTAAAATAAGTCAAACCACTGTCATTATGTTCCATCCATGTTTTTAAGATGCTTTCACACTTAAATAATGCAGGAAATCCAATGGATTGAAATTCTGCTTTATGATCCTATGCTCTCCTTTCCTCTGAAAGCTACCAAATACAATGTTAGGTCTACAAATGCTTTGTTAATATAACCAGAGTCTAAAGTATATGTTAATAAATCAGAAACCCCTCAGATCAATGGCTGCCAAGTTCACCTGCGAAGTGGGGCAACAAGGTGTTGTACCTCGTTCCTCTCCTTCAGGGAACAGAATTTTTGTCACAACCTTTCATTCCCTTTCACTGGATTCTGCTGATACAACACATATTGAAAGGGACATACTGTAGGTTCATGCCCCACACAGCAGCCACTGAACCCAGAAGGGCATCAACTGGAACACTATAATGCATCATGGACTAGAGTCCTGCACATGTCCAGTTCTGAAAACCCACACCCACAAAGCTCTGTATCTGACCTGACCCAATACCCAGAGTTATTTCTAAATGAAATCCGCACCCAAACCAACCCATTAACATAAGACCTGTGACCTGACCCGTACCCGTAATTAAAACAGACCTTAAGCTACACATTCACTTATTTTAAAGTGCTTGAGAGTTGTGTTCCTGGAAAGGTATCTGTTGACAGACACAGCCCCTGGGCTCTGCAGCTGTTCCTATTAAGGTTTAGTCCCCCTCACCAGGGGGGTGAGGGAGAACTGTGGTAGGACTTAAGAGTGCCGACCCAGGTGCTAGTACAAAAGGTGGTTTAATAGGGAAGATACAACGTGACAAAAAAAACACGTATCATAGTCCATGTACATTTAACAGCAAAGTAGGGCAGAGAAGGTGTAGCAGACCAGGACGAACAGGTGAGTAAAGCAGACTAACGGTAGGGACCAGGAGTAGGAGGATCAGGACAGGGGAATAGTTAAACCAACCAGGAGGACTGGCGAACAAAAAGGAAATCCACAGCACAGGAACTGTCAGCGTGGATACCAAAATAACGTTTGGCTAACCTCATGGAAGAACAAAAAAACATACAAAGAGATCCACAGCACAGGAACTGTCAGCGTGGACATCTAGAGATATATAACACAAAACAAGTAACCAACGTACAAAATGAGATCCACAGGACAGGAACTGTCAGTGTGGACGTCTAGAGACGTATAACACAAAACAAATAACCAACGTACAAAATGAGATCCAGAGCACAGGAACTGTCAGTGTGGAAAACAAAATGACGTACATACCACGAGCACAGGTCTGTTACGGGGTATGCAAGTTAATGCTCTGGCGAAGACGGAGCGTCTGCCAGAGGTATAAATAAGGAGGAAAGGTAATCATAGGAATGCACCCCAGCTGTGCGCACAGACAAACGAGTCGCTAGTTACCTAATGCAACACAGCTGAGGTGCAGATCCTGCAGGTCGAGAGAGCAGAGGAGAGAAAGGTGGAAGAGAGGCAAGTCATGCCGAGCGGACCTGACAGTTCCCTTAGTGAGGGAGCACCTAGCTGGGTATTCGACTTGGTGCAGGACTCTGTTGTGGACCCAGCAGAAAGGCCATGGCTTTATACCATTTGTAGCAAACTGAATGCAGGTCAAAGTCTGGAGATCACATACTTGTTTAGCAGACAACAAAGTGAGACATGCTGTCTTGTATGAAATACATTTCATAATGACAGATGTTATAAGCTCAAAGGGCTCAAGCAACAACAGCAGATTCCATGAGGGGATGCTAAATTTAAGTGTAGGCTGAAGCCTGTGGATTCCCTTTTAAATAATGTATCTCCAACGGATGAGCAGCCAATGACACTCACTCAAAGCTAATATGATAATCTGATATAGCCACCAAGTATACTTAAATACTGGAGAAGTAAAGACGCTTGTCAAACAGCATAAAATACAAAACATCCATAATGGAACACTGAAATGGGACAACACTATGTTCCTGACACCACCGCTCAAAAATCTGTCACTTACCAGCATACAACATGGGTGGCTTTGACTGAAATATTTTATGCCTAAAAACAGTCAGGAGCTCCAGATAGTTGATGTGAAACCTACGCCGCTGTATTGGTGGCCAGACCCTCCTCAGTGCTGATCTGTCACACAGAGCTTCCCACCCAGAGAGGAAAGCATCTGTCGACACCACCTTGTGAAATGAAATTCTGCCTGTAGGAGAACCCTGACGTATAGGGCCGGTTCCTTCTAGGGCAAAAGAGCTGACATGCAAGATGGAGTCACTGCCATCCTTCCCTGAAGGTGGTGTGATGCACACAAGCAATGAGAACAGATTTAGCCTTGAAATGCTTGCATCCTTAATAGTCCTAGTGGAACCACAGCAATCACTGATGATATCATGCCCAGTAGCTATAAATCCACTTGGAAACCATTTACATCCCAACTGAACCCCAGAGAGACAGCACTGAAATGTGACCACCCTGTCCTCCAATAAATGCTGGCTCTGCCAGGCCAGGGCCTGACTATGGAACTGAACCAGTAATGTCTGCTCCTATGCCTGCTCTCTGGAGCTTGCTATCAGAGCTCAGTCATCTAGAGACGCTAATATGTAAATGCCCCTCTCTTGAAAGGGTGCCAACACTGCCTTGATACATTTTGTAAAGGTACAAGGGACTAAAGGTGGACTGAATGGCAGCACTAGGTATTCGTAGGCTGTGCACTTGAATGCAAGCCTTAGAAACGTTCTGTGGTCTGGATAAGCCACTGTGAAAATTAGTGTCTGTGAAATTGGTTGTGGCAAACCAATCCCACAGCCTAATGTAGGAGATAATGCTCACCCTCTTTTCAGAACAATGAAATAGCAACTATACCAACCTTTGTTTGGTTCAAAAGGGGCAACTATACTTTTACACTCCTCTGCTCACAAAAGTGAGTATTTCTTCCCAGTGCACTTTTGCAGATTTGTCCAAAACAACATGAAACATGTTGGTTTTGCTTGAAACTGCAGCTGGTAACCCATGAACACAGTGTTCTCTACTCATGGCAAGATTGTGCATGTGTGCCACTCTGGGTAGTGAGCAGTCAGCCAGCTTGCCTGGGGCACCATTTGATGGCGGCTGCTGTCTAGCGTGCTCCATACTAGCATGTAGTACTGAGAGGTTGCTACATAACCGGAAGGGACTCACGATCTAAGCCAACCTCTTGGGTGGAGGCATTGGTGCGGTTGTCTTGTGGGCATCCGTGTATGGTCTGAGCTTTATCTCCCATCTTGGGATAATGTTGCACAGCTCCTCAATGTTTGTCTTTGTCAATTCAAGCTTTGCTTGAATAGCGCTAAGTGACTGTCCAAACAGACCCTCAACAGACACTGGTTCATTCAAGTAGGTGCCCCGATCTGTGTCGGGGATGTCAGAAAGTGCTTGGACAGAAAAAGCGTGGGCCCATACACCGCTTGGTTGTATGAGGGTACCAGATAAGCCACCAGAGAAGGCTCCATTGCAGACAGGGCATCGTGATGTGAGTTGACAGCAGTTTGCCCCATGATGAAGTCAACTTTGAGAGAAAATCTGGAAACATGGACAGAGACTTTTTCACTATTGTAGGTTCATGTGGGAGGAAAAATCTTGGGAATTGCAATGGCTTCTGAGCTGGCTGTGGGGAGGGCCAATCACTTCCAGTTTTCAGCGGCTTGATGATACAGGGAGAACAAGGAGTATCCTCCCATTCAGCTGATGCAGTAGCAGTGGTGCATGGAGCAAGTGATAAAGCATCCTCTTAATCTCTGACAAACCATGCATGTGCAAACTGATGATGAGGACATCGTCATTATATTCTTTGGATAGCTCGAGGTGCTGTTGACTAGCACCGTTGGAGAGTTCAGGCTCCTCAAACCCCTCCGCATAATCCTTATAATCTCCCCAGCTAAGAGCCAGAGTTTCAGCCATAGATTCATCAGCGGAAACAAGCGAACCTGGGCCACCTGACTCGAAGAGGATTGGGGTCCTGTTGTGCAATGACAGTTTTTCCCACAAACACAACCTGCTGTTCTACATTTGAATGCTAGAGCTGGTGAGAAGATGCACACGACTTGGGCTCAGTCAGTGCCCCCCATGTCGTGCCAAACAAAAATGCTAATACCTAACCAGCAGTAGCTCTTTAACTCTGTAGAGTAAGGTCTTCTTATTGAGGTAAAGAGCATAAGAACATAAGAAATGAGGGATAACTGGTAATGGTGGCTTATAAGTGTAGGTGGAGCCATGCATAGAGCATGAATTATGTTGTCTTCAGCCAGGACACGAGTGCATGATATCCTATACAATATACAGTATGTTGTACTGAGTAAATAAACTGAAAGGGAACTCTCTGGCATATACTTTATAAGTTAAGTATTATTTCAAGCATAATACCATCAGTCATATCTACTGTACTTCAGTATGTGTGACATCTCTTGCAGGTGGCCAACATGTTTTATATTGTAGTAATAATGGCTGTAGTCCTCCTGAGCTATGGCGTACCCAGGAAAGCCATTCTGCACCCAAATGAGGAGCCTAACTGGATGCTGGCCAGAGATGTGGTCTTCCAACCATACTGGATGATGTACGGGGAAGTGTATGCCTATGAAATTGATGGTAAGGATGATGAGGATGGTAGAGGAGATTATGAGGGCAAGGATAGTTTAATTCTCATCACAGCATGATAGCTGATTGTCACTAGGAACAAGCAAAGCCACAATGGCCAAATTATTATTCATCCTCACAACTTCTCTCGCAAAACATGGTTCACACCCAGAAGCAGCCAGAGCAGATCTCCTTGGGGAGGACAGGGCTTTTTGCTTCACAATGGCATTGACTGCTTTGACTCTGAGTCTGGTTAAAAGGCAACAGTCCTAATCATTGCCTGAGTTGTGCACATTTGAAGCTCAGGTGGAACAAAAAAAAACCTGGCTGTGCTCCATAATTAGATTTGGCATCCTGACTTTTCACACACCACTGAAATACATGATGTACAGTAGATAATCACTATGATTATGATCTTTTGCTTGAGCTGGTAAATATTTAGATAATTAGGTAGTGCGAATATTTCTTGTGAAAAGAAAGGTGTGATATGGATGTGTTGAGTGTGTATATCATTAGTACCTTTGGAGATTGTGTTTATACTTGCAAGTGTGTGTGTTTCCTAATACGCTTTTTCTCTTCACAGTGTGTGCCAACAACAGCGATCCATATGTAAAGTCCCTGTGTGGGCAAGCAGTGTGGCTGACTCCGTTTCTACAAGCAGTCTACCTCTTTGTACAGTATATAATAATGGTCAACCTTCTCATTGCCTTCTTCAAGTGAGTGCACAACAAATCCAACTTCTGTCTTTACAGAGAAATTTTGGCACTATTTTAAGGGCATGAGCTGCTACAAGCCAGCCTGGCCTGCAGGGGAGAAGCTGCTGTTGATGTGTCTTCCTGGCTTGCTTCTCTAGATTTCTTTGGTTTTCTGTAACTCAGAAAACACACAGAGCCTTTGGCAGCAACCAGTGAACATCCTCCTTGTTTCTTTTTCTGCTTTGGTTTTTAAAAGGTTTCTGTGGGTTAGGCTGCCTTCTCTTGTCCAATCAGACTCCTCTTCTTTTATTCAGACAGCTGTTGGTTAGCTTCACCATGGCCCAGCTTTGGGCCAAAATAAAATATTGCTGGCATTCTCCTCACTATCGTCATTGTCCTAAGTGTCAGGTTGTACTCTCTATGTTTCAGCAATGTGTATATGGAAGTGATGTCCATTTCTAATCTGGTGTGGAAGTACCAGCGCTACCACTTCATTATGGCCTACCACGAGAAGCCTGTCCTCCCACCTCCCTTCATCCTCCTGTGCCATATCTGCTCCCTCTTCTGTATGTGTAGAAAGAGGAAGAAGGAGAATACCTATGGACCAAGTATGACCACACTACTGTCGCTGTCTCCTACATGTAAATTGTTGAAAGAGGAGCCATTTTGCCACTGATGATTCATGATGCCATTCATAGGGGTTACATCCCATGTCTCTTATAAGATTGGTCCTCTGTCAACCTGGAAGCCATTCCAGTTGACATAGGACTTAGGATGTTCCAAGTCTCTTATATTGGCTATGAGAACTGAGGAGTGAGGATCGAGGACGGTGCTGAAGGAGCCGTGACCAAGGATATAAAAAACTACCCTAAACGGAAGATTTTTGTGAACTGATATGCCTCTTTATCAGAAATCAGTTAGTGACTGGGCACTTCAGATGAAAGATCTGAGGAAAGGATGTCTCATGTCATTATTAACACGTTTCCTCAAGTCCTTTCTCCTCACATGTTTTCCTTGTATATTATTTTTCTTCTCTTATGTGGGCAGGGCTAAGACATAGGGAAAAGATGCAAGTGAGGGAAACAGCAGTGCTTATAAGAGGCTTGGGATGTACCCATCGAGTTCACAAGCACAAACATTTAATCGGAGTATGTGAAGGACACAAAACTACTCAACAGAGGTTCTCCAATAGCAACAAGGCTTGGCTTTTTGTTGAGACATACACTTTGATGTCATCTATTCAATTTTGCTTCATATTTAATCCTCTTTCTTTCAGAGCTGTTTCTCACTGAGGAAGACCAAAAGAAGCTTCATGATTTTGAGGAGCAGTGTGTTGAGACCTACTTTCATGAAAAGAATGATCAGTTTCACTCGGGAAGTGAGGAGCGCATACGTCTTACCTCAGAAAGGTGGGACTGTTATTGCCCTTCTTAGAGGGAAGGGGGCAACTGATCATGCTGTAATTATGAAATTTGTGAATTGTGTAAAGCTTTTCCTTAAATGATCAGAAATGAATAGAGATAATGAGTCAGTGAACATTTATTACAAAATAGTCATTTATCTTTTCTTTATGGCTATTCGCTGGCAACAGCTGATGGCATTATGTTTTCGGGTTGTCCATCCATCCATCCGCCTCATATTCATGAATGCGATATCTCAGGATGGCCTTGTGGGAATTTGCCACAGACATCCATTTTGGCTCTAGGATGATATGATTAGAATGTCAACTTCACATCTGTCCCATTGTTGTGAAGGTGATAATTCAAGAACATCTTGAAGGGGTTTCTTCCAAATTAATACACTTACTAGCTTTTATTAAATTCCTTCAAAGTCTTCACTACACATGAGTCTGGACAGACATGCATGTAAATTACAACTTGATTGGTTAGCAGAGGCATACAACCGTGAGCCAATAATTGTAGTTACATTTTCATTTGACATTAGCAGGTAATAAGAACTGAGCTGTGGCTAACTGAAGCTACTGTTTGTCATTTCCAGGGTTGAGACCATGAATTTGCAGCTGAGGGAGATTGGGAACAAGGTCAACTTTATAAAACGCTCTCTGCACACACTGGATTCCCAGATTGGCCACCTTCAGGACCTCTCGGCTCTGACTGTGGACACTCTGAAGACCCTCAGTGCCCAGAGGGTGTCAGAGGACAGCAAGGTCCACAATCAGATCACCCGGGAGCTCAGCCTGTCTAAGAATGTGGTCCCCAGCATCGCCCCAACAGACACCGGCCCCCACTCCAAATCATCTGGGATAGGCAAACGCAGTGTGGGGGCCTTCTTCGGCTCCTCTTTCCTCCAGACAGGAGCCAACATAACAGATTCTCTTTTTGGGATTGGTGTAGGGGGAGGAGCTGGGACGGAGAGAAACAAGGAAGTTTGGGCCAGCCCTGGAGCAGAACTGGGGCGGGACCCCAACCTGAATCTGGCATTGAGTCCAGAGAGGAGGGGGTTGTTTGGGCTCGGGCACCTTGCTGCAGAGGCTGGCTCCTCAGGCAGTGTTGGCTCCAGTGCCCTTGTCCAAAGTGCTGTGGCCATTTCCCCTTTGGAGCTGCATCTGCAAGGCCCCTCTCTCACCCAGAGTAAGCTAACTGGTCCACAAGAGCTGGGCCGTTCTGACTCTCTATCCAGCCTGCCCAGTGTGCCCTCCCCTGTGGCTCAGTTCCACATCAGCAGCACCCCTTCCCAGTCCAGTGCCTCCAGCCACCCAGAGCTCGCCCCAGCTGGGCAATGCCAGCAGCTGCCCCAGCCAGACAGCACCACAGTAGAGTTTGGTGTCTTTGTGGGTAAGTATCAGACTGAGGGTGAATCTGGTGATGGTGAGGGGAAAAAAGTGAAGGTTGGAAACTGTGCTTGTGTGTATCCTACTGTTGTCATCTCGCCTGTGGACTCTGCTCAGTCTGACTGCTTTCCTGCATGCACTGTGAAGCCTGGGAACATGGAGAGGTTAGGAACGGGGGAGAGGGAGAGACAGTGGGGGTATGTGAATGAGGCGTTCTGCGACGACGAGGGCAGATCGAGCTCTCTGAGCAGACGTGGTGCAGCCACTGAAGTTCCACTGGCACCCAGGAGACCCCACCGACAGTGGAGTGAATCCAGATGTCCAGTGTCCTGCTGTGAGGGGCAAAATGGGTTAGAAGTCCCCCTTGACAAGAAGAATGCAGCAAGAGGGCCAAACACGAGAGGTTTGAGTTTCAGGCTGATGTTGAAAGCTGTGTCTGCCGGATGCTCGAGTCTGTCCACCTCAAAATCAGGATCCCAGTACACTTGTAGCTGGTGCCCTTTTCTTTCTCTGCTCTGTCAAGGCCTCTTTAACTTGTTAATTCTTGGTTCCTGGGTGACTCTGGGGTTTTTGCTGGTCAAAATTTTCAGTCCAGTGATTTATTATGGATGTGTTTGTCAGATGGAGGTGAAGGGAGACATTTTTCATAAGAATCAGATGTTTGAACTGTGATTATTTCACTCTTGTGGTGTTGGTCACGTCACCAGACATGGCAGCGAGTTTGCTTGTGTTCTTCTGAATGTCAAAACAGTGATTGTCTTAGATTTCACAGTGGGACTAGTAAATACTCACACTCAGTCAAATAATTTATTTTTCTGAAGTGTTGTTGGGGAAACGGTTACATGAGGCAAACATGAATTACTTAGGCAAAATAAAAGTATTACATTTTAATATTTATTTTAATAATGTGAGAGGGTATTTGAAATTATGGGTTAACAATATTTTCTGGGTTTCAGGACATAAAGAGAGTTTGAACCTCCAGGACTCTACACCCAAGGACGACACTACCTCCAGCAGACGGCAAAGCCCGACCACACAGAGCAGATTGCAGGTGTGTGATTACATGGATCATTGTATCGTTGTTTGTAGTTTTTCTCAGAAAAGCCGTTTGTGCAAATCTTTTGTCTCTTAAATAGGTCAGTCATATTTTACTGTATTTCAGAAAAATGTAATAGTTTCTTCTGACATTAGCTGAGGCACAGTATTTCAGAAGAGGTGTGGTGCCACCACTATAAAACTTCAGAACTCACTGAACCATTAAGTTGTGTGTGTTGTGTTAGTTTGCTACTTTTACAGTCTTGTCCTTTGCAGCCATACTTTATAATTTACCTGATAATGTTAAAAAAGTGAAATTTATCATTAAAGGTAGAGTTGGTGCTCCTGGAAAAACCAGCAAGAGGAAGCTTGATTTTGAAAGTAGACAATCAAAGAAATCCCACCCTTTCGTTTTGACTTCTCTCCAAAGCCAAAACACAAAGCACACTGCAATTCGCACTGCCTGACTACTACACACAGATTTTAGGAAAATAACAAATGCCCCTCAAACAAAACAAAAGCGATGATTACCTGTCCAGCAGAAACACAGCCACTATGGCTTCATCTTTCAGCCCCTTTTGTTTTCTCAGTTGTCACCGTTGTTCAAAAGCCTTAAGCCTGGTTTTACTTCTTGCAGTATCCAACTTCTTTTTAGTTGTAAATTTGTCAGGTAGTGTTACCTGTCCAGATCTGCAGCCCCAAACCTTAGTTGGGAACCTCTAGTTCATGACTAAACTGCTTCAGCCCTGGGTCGTAGACGTTAACTAGCCTTGGAAGTCCAGGCTTTTCCAGCGGGGAGAAGTGAAGAGGGAGGCCAACTAACTCTGTTCAAAACACATGTTTTAATTACATCTTGGTAACATGGACACTGCATGTGGCCTTTGATGCCCAGTTAACTGCATTACAGTCCTATCAATACACTTAAAGCTGACTGCATGTAAAAGGATTAATTCCATGTAGCGGTATTCTCACACTCATACGGCATGCAGGTAGCAACTTCCGTCAGTGCATTTAATGTATTCATTGCCATTGGGATGAAAAGAGAATTTCAATATATGTAACAAAAATACTTAGAAAAAGAACCATCAACCCTACCTTTAATCAGTATTTCAGAATAATGCTCACCTTCTCTTTCTGGCTCGGTCTCTTTTACAGCTGCAGGCTCAGCCTGAAGGTCAGAGTCATATCAGAGCAGTCAATTCTTATGCTGGCTTCACAGAGCTCCACAGAAACCCGGCTTTTCTCCATCCTGACCCCAGTAAGTGGAAAAAAATCTTTATTTCAACGCAATACAACACTAAAACGAGCACATTTATCTGCTTTCATCTCAAATGTTCAGTGTCTCTGGTAACACATGACAGTTGTTGATTGTTCATTGTGTCTCTGTAGCTCTGACAAAGAAGGATCGGAGCAGAGTTTCAGCTGAAAATGTCTGCACCCATGAGGACCCCAGGGTCACAGTACCAGTAAGAAGCATATTTATGTTTGTATTTCCATGAGTACAAAGTTAAAACAACAGTATAGTTTAAGTCTTATTAACCTTAATAAAGCCAGTTTTTGTTTACCAAAACACCTTGTTTCTCCACCAGGAAACAGTTCATGTCAAATCAGCTCAACCCAGCAGCCTGTAAGTGTTTTGCAGTGCTCACAAACACTCATATAGACCAATCCACAGCCACTTTAACTATACAGAGAGTCATAGAGAAAGTGCTGCTAGGCTGTTTGAGTCTGGGTCATAGGAGCCTTTGACAGCAACTCTCTCTCCATTAAGATATGTTTTGGGGATGTTTCTACTAAAAAAAAAATTTGAAAATTACCACACATTGTAGCTTTAAGTTGAGGTCTGGTCCTTGTTTGTTTCACTCAGCCAGGACACTGAGATGCAAATGAATTACACAAGCTTAATTTACAGACTGTACTTCTCAAATATTACCAACATGTGAACATTCCCACTCGGGGCAAGAACACTCTGGATCATGTTTACAGTAACATACGTGGTGCATACAGGGCTGCACCTCGCCCCCACCTTGGACGCTCGGACCACATTTCTTTGTTCCTGTATCCAGCCTACAGACAAAGACTGAAACAAACAAACCCTGTCACCAAGCAAATTAAACTCTGGACCCCAGAGACTGAAGGCATCCTGCAGGATTATTTCGCCAAGACAGACTGGGATGTGTTTAAAGCTGCAGCCACCTCAGAGGACTTTTCTGTCAGCGTACAGGATTATGTTGAGTATGTGAATGGATACATTAGTACCTTTATCGACAACATTGTGCCCACCATACAAGTCAGGAGGTTCCCCAACCAAAAGCCCTGGATAAACAGTCAGGTACGCCACATGCTGCGTGCTCGCTCTCATGCATTCAGATCAGGCAATGAGACAGAGTACAAAGCTGCAAAGCACAGACTGAGGAAAGCCATCACAGCGGCCAAGAGGCAGAACAGAGAGAAGCTAAATGGCTTCTATTCTACTGCTGACTCCAGATGGATGTGGCAAGGCCTGCAGCACCTCACAGACTACAGGACCACCATCAGCATCATCAGCTCCACGGACAGCCTGCCGGATGACCTCAACACCTTCTACACCTGCTTTGAGACCTCCAGCCACAGCACAAAGAGGAGGCGTACACACACCACCCAACCCCCCACCTCCCCTCCACTAACTGTCTCACCAGGTCAGGTACACACAGTCCTGAGGGAGGGTCAACCCCCGCAAAGTGGTAGAACCGGACAACATCTATGGGAGGGCTCTCAGGGCATGTGCCAGTGAGCTGGCTGATGTTCTCACCACCATCTTCAACCTCTCCCTCAGCCAGAGCATTGTTCCCTCCTGCTTTAAGACCACAACCATCGTCCCCCTTCTCAAGAAGAGCCCGGTCACCTGCCTGAACGACTACAGACCGGTGGCACTCACCCCGATCATTATGAAGTGTTTTGAGAGAGTGGTGCTGGCCCACATTCAGAGCAGTATACTGGACCCCCTGGACCCCCTGAAGTATGCCTACCAGCCCAACAGGGCCACCTCAGATGCTATCATGGATGCCCTCCACTATTCCCTTTCTGACCTGGAAAATGGAGACTCCTACATCAGGATACTTTTCACTGACTACAGCTCCACCTTCAACACAGTTGTCCCCCACAAACTCACCCACAAACTGTCCACACTGGGTCTGCACCCTACCCTCTGTCACTGGTTCCTGGATTTCTGACTGGCAGGCCCCAGACTGTCAGGATTGGCAATAGGATTTCAGCCAGCATTGTTACAAACATTGGCACCCCACAGGGATGTGTCC